CCGATCAATTGCCACCCCTAGTTTCACTCAATATCATCTCCATTGATGAAGGCTTGTAGTTTTCTAACTACAACAAAGCACAAGAAACTTCAAAACCTATATTTTCTTTTTCAAATTTTATTTGGAAGGAGAAATTGATTGTAGAGAGAGAGAGATTAGTGCAGTCAATGTGAAATTTTCAAACAATTAGAGAGAGATTATTGCAATCAATGTGAAATTTTCAAATCAATTAGAGAGAGAGATTCAAAGAACTTGCTTGCAATCTTTTGATCTCTTTTCTGGTGCATGTTTTTACAGAGCGTGCAAGGCATGGGAATGATATCCGTGGTGAGGTGATGGCATGCGAGGATGTGCAAATCATGTGGTCCATGCTCCATCATCATAATACAAAGCCAAGGCTATTTATGCCTTGTGAGTCATAAATGATGTTGCCATGGCATGGGTGGCACGCATTATCTGTAGATACATGTGCATCATGGAGATGAGAGAGTCCCCAAAGGATGCTAGCCTAGGGGACGCATGCTTATATGGAATCCTCATTAAAAGGTGAGATTTGATAAAATGAACTATAAAAAAGAAAAAGGAAAATCAAAGGTAAATGGGTCACTCTTTTGTCTATTTTTCTTCATGTTGTTGTTTTATTTATTTATTATTATTATTATTATTTCAAAGAGAAAATTTATATAAAGCTGAGGTTCTAAAATATCAAATTAGATCCCACCTCGAAAATTTCATTAAAAGAGGTTGTTTTGATGCCCAAATATCCTCAAATTGATCATCTCGACATGAAGATGCATGGACATGACAAAAAAATGGATTTCAAGTTTTGGAAATAATACATCTTGTAACACATTTTTGTACCATCAATTTTCAAGATTTTCAAAGTTTCATAGATCTACTCAATCTGTACTATTTTTTAGGCTTTAAATTATATAATTAAAGATAAAAATATATTTTAAGTTATCACATAGATTTTCAATATTGAAATCACTTTTCTCGACACTATTTGAAGTTGCGCTTTATTTTGATTGTTTAGAGCCTCGGCTCTACATAAACCACTCCCGTATCTACTCATTATGTTATTTTATTTTATTTTAGAAAAATGATCCTACATAACCCTCCCCCATCTATGTGTGTAGGACTTAAAGATTACTGTTAAATTTAGTACGGATCAATAGAAAAGTCTTACACCCATGTGATAATTTTTTTCGAGATCAATGCCAACTTTAATAGTGATCATTTGAGGTCTTATATACATAAATAGAGAAAAGTTTTATAAAATCATTACTCTTTATTTTATTGTTTTAATTATTATTATTATTATTATTTCGCTATCTTTCGCGATTTTATGGTATTAAATTCTACATATTTGTATCCATCAATTATGAATTTGAGGAGAGCGCAGCAGTTTCGCTGCGCATTTATTTGCAACTGCATGCGCATGTTGCTTGCAAAGAGGGAGGGAAGGACTTGTTTGTGCAAGTGCAAACAGTGTTATTATGATTGGACCATCCATTTAACTCGTGAGAAATTTGGTCCACTCAAGATATATTCAACCACTCAACGATTCAATAAGATCGGATTTTAGAAAAAAATAAGAAAATAAATATATAGTTTAAAAATATAAAATTTATTAAATGTTTTTGCACAACTTTCATTTACCTGGTTGGATTAGTTAAAACTGATTGGATCGACTGGTTAAAACCGGTCAGACTTTAGTTTTGATTAATTTTTTTATTAAACCTAATTTTTATTTTAGACTAGATTGACTAAGGCAGTATTTAACAGTTTGAGGAATTGAACCACCAGTGTGGTCTGGATTTGATAACTATAGTTTGCATCAAGGTTTGAAAACATGGATCGGTGACTCGGATCGCCTATCTGAACAACTAGGTCAGATCGGTGGATCGGTGATCCAGATCGGAGAATTGGCTGGATCGTTAGAATTTAGCCTTACAAATTTTAAAAACTCACTAAAAATTATTATAAATAATGTTATTTGAGTTTCATGAAAAAATAAGGGCAATATATTATGAGTTTTCATTATCTTACAAAAATAAATGAATATTGAAATATTGTTTCTTATTTAAATGCTTGTTGATCACATTTTAGTTGTGTTTCTGCCAATTATTTCATGAGGCTTTTCTCTTACTCTTTAGAGATAATAAGGGAGGACATGTTGGTTGTATTTTGCTATTCCATTTCATTTTTGAAAGTAAACTGCCTCAATTTTCAATTAATTGTATCATTTCCAAAGTCTCCCCTCATGGTCACAATTACAACAAAAAAAAAAAAAAAGAAAAGAAAAGAAAAAAAAAAAAAAAAGGAGGAAAGAAGAAGAAGAAAAGAAAATCTTCTCATGGTCACAATTACAAAATAAAAAGAAAAATTCTCTCCAAATATCAACAAAACGTGTCCATTTGTAACCTTAACACCATAGAAAGAAGGCACTACCCCTGTAGATATTTTCATTATCAGTAGGGGCAAAAGACAAAAAAGAACTTCATTACTAGGCATTTTAACTACATCCTTATTTGCTCTCACCTTCTCTCTTTAAAATGTCCACTATATGAGATTGTGCAAGTAAAAAGTATATGTTGCCCATTAAATAGATCTAAGGTGAGTATTATTTAGAAACGTGAATTTATAATTATATTTTAATTAAATTTAAAAATAAATAAATAAATTTATGCTTGTAATGAAGAATAATAGAAAGAGCAACTTCAAAGCAAATTAACTAAAACTACTCAATGAGCTATTATTATTTTATTTTTTAAGTATCCCATGAATTTGTGTTATATACGCCAAAGTTTAAAGGTGCTCAATGAGCTATTGTTATTCTATTTTTTGTTAATATCCCATGAACTTATGTTATTTAACCCAAAATTTATTGGCCCCAAAATACAACCTAAATTAAACAATATCCCATGAACTTGTTTTTTTTACCCTAAAGTTTATTGGCCCCAAAATACAACCCAAAACAAATAAATAGCATGTCTAAGATTTGAAACAAGGAATGCCTCTGTAAATGCACTGGCGTCATAACGTATGCGGAGCATTGGGGCGAGGTGCGGCCATAGCATATATCATATGCGTCCGTGGTGGGACCTCCTAATAAAGGACTTCTACATTACGAAAGTTCAACGTGTAACGTACGAATTTTCATCATTATTGTCACATGGGTACGGCTTCATGTACGGCAAAGGCCGAAGTATCCAATTTTATCTATTAATTGGGACATGGCCACAGTTTTGGTGAATCAAATTCACGCATGGCAACGGATTCGGCGATTCACTCGAGCAAATTCGATCCGAATCGCATTACATGGGGTTGGATTGTCTGTCTGGATCTTGATATATTAATTTTTTGATATATTAATAAATCTAAATCACCGTCAACGAATCTCGATCCAAATCGCATGCTTCCGATTTGGATTGCTAAATTTTTGTTTGCAATAAGAGAAGGAGAACACAAAAAAAAAGATAATTGATTGGCGTGATGAGTAAATTCAAGAGGGAGAATACATAAAATCTAAAAATTAGAGAGAGCAATGACAACCTTGCACGTACTCATCTCTGGTTTGAGGTGAATTAGTCGGGTGAGTCCAAATGGGCTGGCAGCCAAAAGCTTTGTAAATTTAAATAAATAAATAAATATAAAAATAAAACAAAATACTAAAAAATCAACCAAAAAAGTCTATATAAAATATATAAATCTTGGATTCCAAAACAAATTTATAGTTGGGTACATTTTAGAAAAATATAAAAATACATTATATAATAAAAAATTCATCAATCCTTGCTAATAATATCCAAATTATATATAAAACTTTATGCATCAAATCCATATTTTTATGGAAAAGTATAAAAAAAGGATTATTTGTTTTTAGTATAAAGAAGTCCCAATCACCTTTGTCAGTTAGATTTCAGAAAGGATAATTGTGAGTGTGTCATTGACTAGACTTAAACTTTAAAAAAAAATTTCTTGAACTTTGTGACATATCCTAAATCATCTAATTTGACATCTAATAGCTAGAAACAATTATAACTTATGTGTAACAAATGTAAATGGTCTCATAGTATACAATCTTTATTTTTATATATCTTTTAAGATTATTTTTTTTTAAGAGAAATTTATCAAACTACTTATAATAAATAAATAATTTAACATTTTACTCATATCTTTTGATTTAACTCCACCTTTGCTAGCCCCCTACCGGTCATGTCAGTCTCAAGTAAAAGAGAAAGGTTGCATCAAACTTTGCTGTAACTTACCATGACTTACCTCTTTGATTTAAGTTTCAACCTACCCTTGAAGAAAACATGGTTACAAGTTGGAATAGCCATGATAAATTTCTCATTTTTTTAATATACCTCGAGTTGTACCTTGTAACTCAGCTTGGGGAGAGTCCGAGTAACTCTGGCCAAATCTTCCAATAAAACTCGACTAGGTCTCCAAATGCTAAAGATTAATAGTGAGATCAAGAACAAAACCAGTACTAGGAAAATATGGAATGCCTTAAAAATATTTTTGTGGAATTACTAGAGAGGGTGAGGGAGTGGGTTAGTGAAAATTCATAAACAAGGAAGGGTATAATGCTAAATCTTCGGAAAATAGGCCAAGCTTTTATTTCTATTTTCAAAATAATCATAAAGGTTAGGATTTTACCTTTTTTTAAGAATAAAACAAATTCTTTTGGCAAAATAATGTTTGATTTTAATTGTAATTTCATACAATGTTCAAGAAACAAAAAGGCATGCTGTTCTTTCACCCAGCTATGACCTCTCATTATTACAACCCGAAAATCCAAGATGGAAATGGGATTATTCAGACGCTAAACACCCCCTTATTTACAGAAACACCTCCCACCCCCACCAAAAAAACAAAATAAAAAAGAAAACGATTCATAATTTTAGTTTCCGAATTCACCCTCATTTATTCCCAGAAATTTCTGCCCCTACCCCAACAGTGAAGGGCAAAATTGTCAAAGTCCCCCCCGTTCAAGACCTCATCATCGCATAATAATCACCGTACAAAGCCGCACTCTCCATATTCGCCCACGAATTATCCTGAAAATATGCACTCTGTCCTCCCAAAATATCCCCAAGCTGCCCTCCGCCGATTCCCAGCATCTCATCCAAGAACCATTTGTGATCGTCCATCTCTGGCATGACCTGTCCGACAGCCGAGATCCTCTCCTTCGCCATGGCCTCCTCGGACCGAAGGACCGCAATCCTCTCCCTCACAGCCGCACTCCGCCGTTCGATCAGCCTGGACAGCTCATTGAGCTCGTCAACGGCCGTCGATTGGATGCCCTTCCCAGCGAGGCCTTCATTCAGGAGCGACGCCGCTGCCGCCTCACGATTCTCTCTTCTCTGCCGTTGGATCTGGTCACGGAGCTTCTGGATCCTCTGGCGCAGGAAACCGTCGTGGTCCATAGTCTTCTTGTTGCGGTCCGTCTCGGGCAAGCTTTTGAAGCGGTGGAGTACCGTTTGGGCCTTGGAGTCGGAGGACCACACATCGGGTGTATGGTCTCCTGGACCGTACACCACAGCAAAGGCCGGTACTCCACAGAGAGTACTGAGCTCCGCAATCTTTTTGAGGAGGCCGCGCTTCCGCTTTTTGAAGGACGATTTGCGGGCCGAGTCGTTTGCGATCCATGCGAGGGTCACCTTTTTGCGTGCCATTGTTTTGATCGTTGCTTGTTTCTCTCTCTAGAACACAGTCTTTCTAGAAGTTTTTCTCACTCTAGAACACAATCTCTCTAGAAGTTTTTCTCCCTCTTGAACAAAGTCTCTTTCTGAATTTTTTCTCTCTAGAAGCAATGTTTCTCTCTAAACTTCTCTCTCTAGATCTCTATTTTAGTCTCTCTCGCTATACTTCTATCTCTCTGTAAATTTGCAAGTGGGGTTTATATAAACTTGTCAAATTTTCTTGCAGCAAGGTCCTCTCTTTGCTACACTGGTTTCTCTCCCTATCTAAAAAGTTCTTCAGGTTTGAAAGAACGAGCTTCTCTCTATCTGTAGTGCACCAGCAAGCCCTTCTCTCTATTTGGCTGGTTTTTCCCTCTATCTAAAAAGTTACAGCAACGAACTCCTCTCTCTCATTTTCTCTCTCTAGTTTTTCAAGCCTGTATGTTACTGAAGCGTGGGGTTGTGGCCCTTTTATAAAGACGAATTTGTGGAGAGGATCAATGCACCAGCGCTAAATCAGTCAGAATATTTGATATTCAGAATCACAGAAATTTGGTTCATTAAGGACTCGGAAAAGATGTGTTCATGGCTTTGGGTTATGAGATTAATGGTGGGGGCTTTATGAAGGACCCCCATTTTTGGTAAATCCAGTTGCACAACGCCATTATCTTCTCTCTCTAACCCCATTATCCTCACTTCCATCTCTCTATACACATTGTCCTCTCTTTCGCTTATCCAGCTAGAGATGAACTGTATCAAAAAAATCATCATTACTCATCCATCTCCTTTGAGTAAATGAACGACTCGGGAACGAGACTAGGCTCATGGCCGAACCCGAGTTACTGGGCATGAGCAGTCGATCCAAAAGTTTTCAACAAATAAAATAAATTATATAAAAAAACTCAAAAAATAGAAAAGATATATTTAAAGTAAAATTAAATGAGATACGTCTAAATGGAGTTAAAAAGGGGTGAAACAAGATTTTAAAAAGACAATTTGTGTTGGGAGTATTTTAGAAATAATATAAAAAGGATAGATATAAAATAAATATGAGAAATGATCTTATAGGATCTTCCCCACTTATGTGTGTAAGACCCTAAAAGATCACTATTAAATTTAGTACGGATCTATAGAAAAGTTAAGTCTCACAACCATATGATAACTTTTTCAGAGATATGTACCAACTTTAATGGTAATCCTCTGAAATTATACACACGTAGGCGGAAAAAAGTCCTATAGGATCATTACTCAATAAATATTTATGGCTACATTTTTTTCCAATTTTTACTAAAATAATAAAAATATAAAAAAATATATTATAAATAAATTCCTTTTTTTGTTTAATTTTATTTTATTAAATTTTTTTGGAATCCTTGACAGCTTCGGATTTTGAGACTCGCTAAAACTAGTCCGAGTTGACTCGAGCAAATTTACGTGCACTCATCGGGCTGGTAACAAATGCATCATCTCCCCCTTCTCTCTTTTATCCAGTTAGAAATGAATTGTCACAACAAATGCAACCCTTTATTCGCCGGAAAACAGGAACTTGTTGTCGGAAATTTGACGGATTTTGCATGAAACATACGTTCTCTGATAAATTCAGAGCTCAAATGAGATTTTTTTAGATTCCATAACAGGAAACACTTGAACCTGAATATCATGAATTGCTTGCAACTGTAAACCTTTGAAGAGCTTTCTTTTCTGGAAATTTTAGGTTTTAATGTGGCGTTTGACTCTTTAGAATGGTCTTGTAACGGTCGTATCTTTGGCAATAAGTGAGGCATGTGTCAAGGGTTGACCAACTTTTGACTTTTTAAAAGTTGCAAGAAATCCGGTCCCGCACTTCTCCCCATAGAACCCACCCGACCGGGCTTCCGGGCTGTTATTGTGGATCGGTGGTAAATAGACAAAATCTTTTTTTTCCGTTCCAATTGCTCAGCTTCTTCCGAGATGCTCAGTATAAAGTTTATGGATTTGAAATTCTGCCAACAAAAAGTTCTTGTTCTACTCGCTCGGTCGTATTCTTTTTCATGGCCATGTATTATAAGTGTTGAGAAACCACTTGCTCTTTCTAGCACTCTCACTCACCAGTCGCTTCATTCATTCCTTCTCTTTTTCTTCCACGAATGAAGAAAAAATAAAAAAAAAACAAACAAGGGAAAAAAAAATAGAGGGCTGTGCGACCGGGCTGCCCAGCCCATTACCGGCCCTATCATGAGATCAGCAATTTAACAATTTACATAGATCTTTTGATTCAATTTGAAATATCCATCCAAAAACATATATTCATGACTTGGAATAGTTCTAATGGTGTAGAATATTAAATAATTCACTTTTTATGAGTATTTTGATAAATTTCCGTGCAGAAAATACGAAGTGTTTGAAATATTGTGAAGTTTCGGCCGGTAATTGAAACACTTGAACAAAGTTTCGGGTGAACGAAATATCTGGACCTTGCGGCCAAATGAAAGGATTTTCAAGGTCTGCAAATTGTTCGATGGACTCTATTGTTAGTTTGTGGTTTGTAGAAGGTGTAAAAATTATTCAAAAAAAAAAAAAAAATTTGGCATCAAGGTGATAATCTTAAACAATCAAAGTAAGGTGCACTTCTAAAGAAAGAAATAGTTTCGGTGTTGGAAACCCTTACGATGGCTTAAAATCTATTTTCACACCTAATCATAAATGTTCTTACTCTAAAAATGATGTTCGTCAAGACTAGATATAAACACATTTTTGAAAATGGGCGGTTTAGATTATTCATTATAAGATTTATTATTTTTACAAATTGATATCCTATGTTTTTCTTTGTATCCATATATCTCGAGATTAAGATGATCAATTATAGGGTTCTTAATGTCGGAGCAATTATTTCACGTGGATTATTTTTGAAATTTGAGGAAAATTTTCTAAAATTTTGAGTGTTTCCAATAACTCACTCCGGCACTTTTTTCTACAACTGATACCAAAAGCAAATGGTCTTATTTTAAACTTTCTTAACTTATAAGTTGGACCGCTAAAAGTTTGCATGCAATCATATCACATGCCAGCTGTACTTGATTTTGTTAAGTATACTTTATATATGGCATTGTTCTCAGCTTACTCCCCATTGTCCAATCACCATTAGAAAACCAAATATTCATATCAGGGTGCAATTTATATAAAAGATGTGCCTCTCAACAATCAACCTAAGGTGCACTTTCAAACCTAGCTAGGAGAAGTAGTTCTAGTATTAAAAACTCCTCTAATGGCCTAAAAATATGTTTCCACCTTAAATTATGAAATTTAAATCTTTAAAAATGATGCATGTCAAGCATATGGAAAATCTTGAAACAAATAATTCAGATAATTTGTAAAAGAAAAAGTGTATGTAAGGTTGAGGCCCTAAACAGTCAAACTAAGGGGTATCTCAAAAATCACTAGAAGAAGTTGGTTTGATGCCGACAAGCCCTTAAATTTGATCATCTCGATCTTTAGATACCTGGACATTAAGAAAAAAGGACTTCGAATATTGGAAATAGTGCTTGTAATGCATTATCTAGACCATCAATTTTCAAGATTTTCAAGTGTTCATAGATCTACTTGATCTACACTATTGTTTAAGATTTAAATTTTATAATTAGATATGAAAATAATCTTTCAGGCCATCATAAAGATTTTCGGTACTGAAACCTTTCGACTCTATGTCTTCACCTTAGTTTGATTGTTTAGAGCCTCGGTGTTACACAAACCACACCCATATGTAAAAGATACGCTACTTTTTTGATAGCCAAGCAATATTAAGCAAAAATTCTTGAAGCAAATTAAGAAACACACGAATCGATGTGATTGTGGGGTTTTCGGAACTAGAATTTCCTAATTGTGGGGCTTTCGGAACTAGAATTTCCTAAGGTGTAATCCTAATTTGGCTTTGACGATTCTAAGTTTTGGCATACGGATGCATCCGTAGCTGTAGATGTAAGGTGCACCTTCAAATTTTATCATGGTATATAATTTTGATGTAAAATATTCTTAGGATTATCTCAAAATCTATTTTTATATCTAATTATAAAATTTTAAATTTTAAAAATGATTAAAATCAAGTAGATCTATAGACACATGAAAATCTTGAAAATGCACGGTGTAGATAATATTTTGTAAAATGCACTATTTCTGAGACTTCAAATTTTTTTATTTTTCATGGTCATACATCTCGATGTCGGGATGATCAATTAAATTTTCAACATCAAAATTACTTTTCCCGAAAGATTTTTGAGGTGCATCCGTAGTTCTACATTATAAGGTTGCATCCCCATATAAACTTTTTCCTGCTAAGTTTGATGTACGATTTTTCAATCTCTTTTAAAAAATTATTGTGTAACACTGAGATCTCAGTGTTAATTTTGGTGCTTTTGCGGAAGCATATTGAACATTTATCTCCCGGGTAAAATCTATTTTAGGGGTTTTTTTAGGACTCCAAATTTTGTAGATGTGATATCTTCACTTTGGAGACTAACCTCAAAAGGAAAAAATAAATTAGGTCGGACTCCAATAGTGCTTGAAAAAATAATGTCCCAAGGCAGAGAGGAGCTCACCCTATTTTCAGAGGTGAGTTCTGAGTGTTGCATAATTCAAATTTGTATTTTTTTTATAAATAAAAAAATTTTTATATAATGTTGTAACCTTAAAATGTAGAATTAAAGATGCCCCTCAAAAATCATTGGAAAAGATTGTTTTAATGCTCAAAAACCCTCTAATTGATCATCATGACATCGAGATTTAATAATATATATATAAAAAGAAAAAAATTTGAGTCCCAAAAATAGTGCATCTTGCAACACATTATCTAGACCCTACATTTTCAAGATTTTTTTTTGCTTATAGATCTACTTGATTTGACCATTTTTTGTGTTTAAAATATTATAATTAGAGATAAAAATCATTTTCAAATAATATAAAAAAAATTTTACACACAATTACATATTATGATAAAATTTAGAGGTCTGCCTTAATTGGAT